TTACATGGCAATTCTTTCTATTGGTTCATTAAACATATGCATTTCTGTATTACTATTTATAATTGTAGCATGTTAGATGTTAGATGTTCAAAATATGTATTCCTAACTAGATAGATGACTGTTTGTTTCATGGTTGTTTGAATTTCATTTATGAAAGGATTTCATGGAATTTAAAGAACAGAGAGGACTGTAAACAGCAAATGTTAACTAACTGAAACATGATCACTAAAGCATTGCTGCAGCCTATTCTGTTTATGTGGCAGAGAGAGGCTTTAACCATTTTTACTTTATATGGTAAGTTATAAGTAGAATTTTATGTTATTTGTTCAGTCTCTTATGCAGATGGTACTTGATTAAAATCTATTTTAAACTATGGTGATTATTGTAAGAGAGTGTGAATGAAACAGCTCTCCTACCACCATTAAAGGCCTTGGAACGATTTCAGTTTATTTTAAATATGCTTATAGGCGTTTCTTAACTTCTCATGGGACATTTAGATATCAACAACATGCTTTATTTGATATCCCTAAATCTTGTACTATATATCCTTGTGATCTATTATTTGTGGAACATGGTTAATAACACACATTTTTACAGTGAGAGACTATTGCTTTCTTGTGATAAATAAGTTAAATACATCACTATAATTAAGCAATAAGGCATGACAGGAGGTGGATTACCATGAGCTAACTACACCTCTAGGGAGTTTGAAACACAAGTCCATGCTTAGCTGAATAAGTATGAGAATTTTTTTAATTATTTCCCATCTGTCTCTGTTTTGGTGGTTAGCAGCAATGTCTGTGTAACTGCTAGACAGTTGTAAGCATAAGGTAGAACATAATCCCCATTATTTTCAAGGTTATTAGTTGTAAAATTCTGTGTAATTTCTTTATTTTTAAAAAGAAATGAAATTTTCCCTAATGAATACTTAATGTGCAATAAAGTAGAGGAATAGTCCAGAGCCAATGGATCATTTAGATTCCTTCAGAGATGTTCAATTTACTAGACAGTTTTGCTAGTTAACCTTTTGTGAATGTTAAAATGACGCAAAGGGCTAAGCAAATGGGTTATGGGAGAGTTTATCCAGATGATTTTAGGAACCAAGACTTCTCCCTTTGTACTATTATTAATGCTGTTCTGAACCTACAAAACTAGCATGATATCCTCAGCAGAGACTATGCTTTGCTTTGAAAATATAGCCAACTAGCATTTTAGGGGTCAGAGAGAGAGGTTTACATGAATGTTTCCCAAAGAGAGTATTTCTGTTTGTTTTTGTTTTGTTTGTTTTTTCATGTCAGGAGCGACTTGAGAAACTGTAAGTCTCTTCTAGTGTGAGAGAATTGGCCATCTGCAAGGATGCTGCCCAGTGGATGCCTGGGTGTTTTTGATGTTTTACCAGCCTTCTCTCATGTCCCTGCATAGGGAGCTGGAGCGGACAGAGGGAGCTCATCCACGATCTCCCAGGATTCGAACCTCCGACCTATCTTCAGTCCTGCCGGCACAAGGGTTTAACCCATTGCGCCACTGAGGGCTCCTGTTTTTTTGTTTTTTTAATTTATATTTATTTACTAGGGTTAAGATCCTATTTTTCCAGTAGTTTATACTGGAGGCAATTCCAGTCCACCACACTCATAGTATGCTAGGTTCAATCCCACCCTACAAGACATTACTTGAATAGGTTGCTTGGAACCACTTAACATACTTCTCCCATGTCCATTCTCAATACTCAAAAGTATTCATGGAACATCCTTCCTATGAGCAGTTTGCCCCCAATAGGATCCTAGCCCTAATGTATATTCCACTTTTCTGCCAAAACACATCCCTATCTGTGTTATGAAGGCATAGATTAATAGCTATGTGAATACTTCCATGGATTAGTAATACAGCAGTGATGACAATGTTAAGATGTTTGTGAATTGGAGCACATTTTACATCTGTGAAGGAAAAGTTACTCTCAGTAAAATAGATGCCACAATTGATGGCACTGTATAAATCAACAATAGTACCAAGAATAATCATTTTTAAAAATGTTGGGTGGTAAATCCCAACATAACATTTACAGGAACAAGAGAAGCAGTCAGAGAGTTGGGATCACAAGGGTCATTCAGTCCAACCTTCTGCCGTGCTGGAACACACAATCAAAGCACTCCAAACCTTTTACCATCCAGTCTCTGTTTAAAAAACTCCAAAGAAGAAGATATCTCTACAACCCAAAGCAGTGTATTCCACTATTGATCAGCTCTTACTGTAAGGAAATTCTTCCTGATATTCAGGTAGAATCTCTTTTCATGTAGTTTAAATCAAGTGCTCTAATCCTGCTCCATCTTCAACATGACTACCATGTCGCCTCCTAAGCTTCTCTTCTTCAGAGTAAATATACCTAGCTCCCTAAAATGCTCCTCATAGGGCATGGTTCCCAACCTTGAAATTAAATTTCATTTTCCTAGTGACAAAATATTGCATTTTGAATACTGGGAAAACATATTTGTCACCATAGAACTGCCAATGGTCTCCATTGCCAAACTTCTATTTTTTTTTCCATTATGGATTTCTAAAAAATGGATTTGAAGATTAGATGCTCCAGCATTCATTTTTACTATTTTAGATTGTTTAGGATTTGATCTGAGTGTGGTTTATATTCTGTTTTGAAATTATACTTGTAAACTGACTTTTGAGTCAAAGCTAGCATTTTTTTAAAAAAGTATTCACGAATATTGTTCTTTTCAATCTGGAAAAGTCAGATTAGCAGAAAACGTCAGTGGTTTATATAAAATTAAGGAACTTTTGGATACAGTCCAAATATGATACAGTTGTATAGTTTTTTTAATATATTAAGCCTTTCAGAGTATGTAATTTGAGTTATATGTAGAGATTATTTTATTCCATCACTACCTAGATCAGTGGTTCTCAACCTTCCTAATGCCGTGACCCCTTAATGTAGTTCCTCATGTTGTGGTGACCCCCCAACCATAAAATTATTTTCATTGCTACTTCATAACTGTTATTTTGCTATTGTTATGAATCGTAATGTAAATATCTGATATGCAGGGTGTATTTTCATTCACTGGACAAAATTTGACACAAATACCCGATTACGTCCAAATTTGAATAGTGGTGGGGTTTGGGGGGAATTGATTTTGTAATTTGGGAGTTGTAGTTGCTGTGGTTTATAGTTCACCTACAATCAAAGAGTATTCTGAACTCCACCAACAATAGAATTGAACCAAACTTGGCAACAGAACTCCCATGACCAACAGAAAATACTAGAAGGGTTTAGTGGGCATTGACTCTGAGTTTTAGAGTTGTAGTTCACTTTCATCCAGAGAGCACTGTGGACTCAAAAAATGATGGATGTGGACCATACTTGGCACAAATACTCAATATGTCCAAATGTGAACACTGATGGAGTTTGGGGAAAATAGACCTCGACATTTGGGAGTTGTAGTTGCTGAGATTTCTCATTCACTTACAATCAAAGAGCATTCTGAACCCCACCAATGATAGAATTAGGCCAAACTTCCCGCACAGAACTCCCATGACCAATAGAAAATATGTGTTTTCTGATGGCAACCCCTTTGACACCCCCTCACAATCCCCCCCCCATAGGAGTCTTGCCCCCCCCAGGTTGAGAAATGCTAACCTAGATTGTAAAGAGATGTGGTAACTAAAAATGTCAGTGCTTTTAGTATTAATTTGTTTTATGATGCAGTCTCTTTTCAGCTAATGAAGCAAATAAATTTCTTAAAATATTTTCATAAGATTTCCAAAGGTGCCCTTTACACATTTAGCAGAATTTCTGAACAAATTGAAATCCTTTTCTTCCTTTTTTCCATTTCTAAAATAGACTCTGCCATGTCCATTCACATTTCTTTTCTCCTTTGCTTTGGGTAACAAGAAGGTAGATGAATGCTTTCCTTCACCTCACCTCTTGAGAAAGTTACTTTAGAAGCAAGACCTGTAGCTTGTTGAGGCTCTAGAATTCACCGGCAAAGAAAGATAAAGATTTTGTAAAACTATCACTTCCAGGACTCCATAGCATTGACCCATGGCAGTTAAAGTGGTGTCAAACTCCAGTAATTTTACAGTGTAAATGCAGCCTTGGCCATTCATCTACAAAGGCACACCATAATATAATTTTGTTAGGAGTAAACCCCAGCATTATCACTGGGACTTGGAAAATCACTCACAGAATATTTTTAATTTATTAACTGCATTTCTATACTGCTTTTCTCACGCCTGGGGGGGCTCAAAGTGGTTTACAACATAATAATCATGCAATCAGGTAAAGTATAACTTTATAAAATCTTTTGTAATCATACAGATGTTTTAAAATGCAGCATCTAAATGAAGATGGTCCTTTTTCTTTGCAATTTCAACAGATTTTATAATATTAACTACAATAGGCATGTGAAGGCTAAAGAAGATTTTTTTTAATGAAAGAACTTATATCCCAATCACCAGCACCAAGCTTGTTCCCAATCTCTTGCTCACTTCACATTTTTGTGATTGCTGGAAATTCATAGGAAATTATGTAGCCCAAATCTAAGTCACTTAATAATATATTTACTTGTTCCTTTATCTGACAATTCAGCTTTTAGGAAAAAGCACCATAGAGACTTCCCACAGTGGTTGAACTAGTGAACAGCATACAGTGTATTATGAAAGACGTTAGAGTGACACAATGCCATTAGTGGTAAGACTTGAAAAAGATAAGCCAATAAACCAACAACTTAGGTAAAACAATTAAATAAAAGCAAAATATAAATGTATAATAAAATTAGATTATATAACCTAAAATACCCAAAATGCATTTTATAGATGAAATCATTTAAGAGGCCAACAATTTGGATTATAAAAAACCTATAATTAAAATGCTCTTTTAAGCTACAAAATGCTAAATGCATGTGGACTGAGAAATGGAGTTTTAATTTGCCTAACAGTAATGCTACTGTGCTTGTGTGTGTTTGTGTTCTGTAATGTAATCTCTTCTTTCTTTGCAGGTCAATGGGGGAGAAAAAAGACCTGCCTCTGATATGGGAAAGAAACCCAAAACTCCCAAGAAGAAGAAGAAGAAAGACCCCAATGAGCCGCAGAAGCCTGTGTCTGCCTATGCATTATTTTTCCGAGACACACAAGCCGCCATCAAGGGCCAAAACCCAAATGCTACTTTTGGCGAAGTTTCTAAAATTGTAGCTTCCATGTGGGATGGCTTGGGAGAAGAACAAAAGCAGGTATGATGATATGGCTATCTCTTGCTCTTATGCCCTCACATTCTCTTCTCACGTTCAATCAATTTCACTTTGGTTTAGAAATGTTTTATGTACCATGTTTTCTTAAAAAAAACCTCTTTTACTACAGATCTTAGTGATATGTCTTCTCAAAACTCTTATTTTATGTCCGTATAGAAACACAAATCTTAGTCACATATATCTAAGTAACACTTGTCAAGGATCTTCAGTTGAAAGTTACAGAGTGTTATAGCAGCAACTGAGAAAAGCAGGTGAACCTGTCCAATTCTTTCTATGTTATTTCTACCTGTGATTCCAATTTTTCTGTTAAAAATGTAGTGCTGAGGAGCACATCTGCTTTATTAACTGCGGTATTCCTGTATTACCGTTTTCAGTCTGAGAAAAATAGAATGAGATTCTTAGTCAGGGATCTGTCATAACCCAGTAAATAGTCTATACACTGGAGTGTTCTTTACAAATTATTTTTCTCCAAGGAAAAAAACCACAGTGATTTACTCATTTTTCCACATGGCCCAGTGGCTTCAAACCCAATTTGATGCTACCAGACCACCACCTTTACTGTCTGCCTCATGTCCTCAGCTTTGCAGCAACCACCGAACTGCCAGAGTGTTGCAAGAGAGGAGAGAAGGAAAAGGAGGAACCACCACCTCCTCCTACTTCTCCAGTCACTCTAATGCTCTGACCAGCATCAGTAGATGCACTGAGTGACAACAATCAGCAATATCATATTTGTGGTCACCACTAAGCTGAGCACACATGAAGGATGTTAAGTGCCACCCCCTGTCACCTGGGGAAAGTGGGGTGGGGTGGCTGTGTGAACAGCCATGGCCAGTTCTAAACTATAACTGGTCCAACTGTTTACACTGCCATAAAGTGTGGGTGAGCTCCAGATCTTCAGGGAAGCTGTGAAGTACCACCCCGACTCTTTTTAATGTGGGGCAAGGCTGCATTAAGCATCTTTGGCAAACATTATAGCAAATGGGCCCATAAAGTATTGGAGCAATTACAGCTGATGGAGAAGTCCAGTTTTAGGATTGAGAGGACAATAACATATTTTGGTATTACAATGACTAATGTAAATGTATTTATTTACATTATTTCTATCCCGCGCATATCAGCCCAAAGGCGACTCAGGGCGATATACACAGTCTGCACAATTCGATGCCATAAAAATACATACATTAATAAAGCAAAAACATTAAAGTGCATTTAAACATCAAGACAGTGCATAATAACATTTTTTTTAAACTATGTCCTCTTGTTCAATCCTCATCCATTCCATTGTCTTGGTCATTCCTGGGTCATTTTCCAGCTCTAGTTTGTCTATTTATTCCGGGGTTCCGAATGCTTGCTTGAAGAGCCAAGTTTTTACTCTTTTTCGGAAAGTCAGGAGGGAGGGGGCTGATCTAATATCCCTAGGCAGGGAGTTCCACAGCCGAGGGGTCACCACAGAGAAGGCCCTGTCTCTCATCCCCACCAGGCGTGCTTGCGAAGCAGGCAGGATCGAAAGCAGGGCCTCCTCAGACGATCTTAAGTTCCTGGAGGGTTTGTAGGAAAAGATGCGTTCAGATAGATAGGCTGGGCCGGAACCGTTTAGGATTTATAGGCTAAAGCCAGCACTTTGAATTGAGCCCGGTAGCAAACTGGCAGCCAGTGGAGCTGATGCAGCAGAGGAGTTGTATGCTCCCTGAGTGCTGCTCCTGTTAGGAGTGGATAATTTGTCAAAATAATTAGGTTAACATTTTGAATGAGATTAAGAAGGACCTGCAAAGATAGAAGAAAGTAAAATTTTCATCATTGGGGAAGATAATAATAATAAAACTTTATTTATATACTGCTCCATCTCCCCGAGGGGACTCAGAGCGGTTCCCAAGTAATATCACAAAACATACAGAGTAAAAACAACATAACTGTAAGATTAACAAATAAAATATAAACATAAAAATTGTTGCCATAACACACATATATTAAAAGTAATCCTGCCTGTTCAAGGCAATTAAAATTTTAAAAGGCCGGGCCAAGATTTGTGCAAGCCCAAAAATTCTAGGGGGCCCGGGAATTAAATGCAATGCTATGACAGGCAACAATAATATTCGGTCTGTGGCTGTCCATTCCAGGGCCGATTAGAGGAAAGAATCTGGGTAACTGGTAGGAAGAATAAGATTTCAGCAGTAAAAAGTAATGTCCTGCCCATAATGCCTTTCATGTTTCAGTCTATACTAAATTTGGTTAATGATGTATGATTTAAACCAGGGGTTCTCAAACTAAGGCCCAGGGGCTGGATACGGCCCTCCAAGCTCATTTACCCGGCCCTTGCTCAGGGTCAACCTAAGTCTGAAACTATTTGAAAGCATACAACAACAACAACAATCCTATCTCATCAGCCAAAAGCAGGCCCAGACTTCCCATTGAAATACTAATAAGTTTATATTTGTTAAAATTGTTATTCATTTTAATTATTGTATTGTTTTCAGTGTTTTTTTCATTACAAATAAGATATGTGTAGTGTGCACAGGAATTCATTCATGTTTTTTTCAAATTATAATCCGGCCCTCCAACAGTTTGAGGGACTGCGATCTGGCCCTCTGTTTAAAAAGTTTGTGGACCCCTGATTTAAACAGCGACACAAGAACCTGTCTAAGTTTATATGGCAGGGGAAGAAGTCAAGAGCTAGGATAAAAATTATACAAGATGCAAAACACAGAGTATATTGACATTTGGATCTCAAATTATGGCCTGGTGACAAGCATCAAGTTTGAAAGAAGCAAGGAGCAATTTTAGCAATATTCTTCCTGCTGTAAAAAATCTTCAAAAATCCATCCAAAGCTAATTTTCTTCTGCATTTTCTGTGTAGAAAATAGCATTCTCTGTGTAGAAAATATTTATGTGTGCTATTTTCTATGGTTAAAATTTGTTTACAATTTTGTGCAGATGCTCAACAAACCAGATTTTTTCATTACATTCAAAAACATGTTTTCCACAGCCCTGTAGTTCTATCTCACATTACCCTGCCTTTTAAATTCCTACAAAACCCCTCAAGAATGCTCACAATACTTAATATGCTTCTGTACAGAAGAATTAAAACTTCTTAATGCTCTTCGGTAAATGCCATTGAGTATTCGTAATTTTTGAGATCTTCTAATAACCATAATTGTCCAGTGGAGACTGTAAGAACCTTGTTAGATTATTCTTCCATATGAATTTTGCTTTGTTCTAATAACTTCCGTCATGAATGAGGACAAGCACTGTTATACCTTTGTTCCCTTGCAATAGTTGAAGGAAAATTATTTGCTTCATTGAATTGCAGGGTTTGCTTCTGCTTTTTTGTTTCTGTTTCATTAAGTTGTTTGCACATTGCAATTGGGAAAACATTCAAAGAATAAAAAATTAAATCTAAAGGCAAAAAGGATCAAAAATATGAATATAGATAATGCTGTGTATGTTGGCCTATATGAATGTTGTATACCTCAGTGTTGCAGCAAGGAAAAACATAACCAAAAATATGTTTGTTTTGGGTTGTCTTCTTAATAAAGAGTAATAAAATATTCAAACTGGCACAAATGCAACAACAATCTTATCACTACCAATTGTCATGGACCTTATGAAATGATGATTGTAGCGGGGGGGGGGGGTGTTGCAACCCACATTTTTCATATGAAAATGCACTTCCCTTTAAAAAATGTAATACAATTTGGTTTCTTCATCACATATACACAGAAACTTTATGAAAGGACATCTAGRATCTTTGGAATAACTGTGAAATGACTGTATCCATTTCTAAAATGAGCTCAAACTAGGGCTCTGCTCTGGTAATACAGAATTATTAGTTTCCTTTGTAATATAAACTTTGTATTGGAAATGTGTTTTTTCTTCTGTACATAAAATACATTTTTCTATGTTTTTTTTAAGAAACCAATATTAAGGTTCTGAGAAATGCTTCAATTTTTTGGCATTTGATAGCATGGACCTTATTTATAAGCAATCCTACTGCTTCTCTCACCACTCAATTTGAAGAGAGCCTTTCAGTGATTGTAAGAAATAGTCAAGTGGAGAGTGAAGAAGTGCTGAGAGAGTTCCTTTTGGTATACACATTAAAGTGATAATTCTCTCCACAACTGCGGTACTTCATTTCTCTTTACAGTCCCATTATTGCCTCTCTTGTTCAGATATACAGACAATCTGATTTTAATAGTTCCCCTTCTATCTTCTATATTTTATGTAAACCTACTTCAGCAGTGTACGATTAAACATCGCCTTACTTAGGGCATGTTGTAATGCATAGTTTTATAGAAGAGACACCACCATTTGAATTTGAATAGGTTGTACAGTGAGTTGGGCTGTCAGACAGGCTCATAATTCTCACATTCATTGCAAGGTTGTAATTGCAAATCATGCGGCTCCAGATTTGTGGGCTTTAATGCAGTTTAACTGTGCAGAACAAACTGGAAAGTTATCTTGTGGCACTGTGTACTGTTCAGCTATCAGACAAAACATAGTGTGGGACACATGTAGACACTCCATGTTGACAAAATGATGTCTACCTGTCTGAACTAGCATCTTCCCAGAACAGTATGCACTTTTCTACACTAGCAGACCCCAAAGCAGTAAACACACACACACGCACACTGTTCAGAAAGAAAGTAAAAGTAAATGTGGTTATGTGACCAAGCTTTCGGACAGCAAAGTTTAAAGTGCAATAAGATAATATGGAATAGTGAATGGACCAGTGAAATTGTTTTTAAATCGTGTTGTTTATCAGTGGATTTTAATATAAATGTTATTATATTATCAATGGTTAATTTTGTATGTTTTATGTCTAACTGTTCTTTTATGTATATGTTTTATGTGGTTAGGTTAATTTAGAGTTAAATGTTATTGCCTTGCTATTATCTTTTGGTTTTCGCATGTATATACGGCATTGAATGTTGCCTTTATAATGTTGGAAACTGCTTTGAGTTCCCATAGGGAGAGAAAAGCGCTAT